GTCTTCCGTACGCAATAGTGAAGCCCCAAATCAAAAACGGTAGCCTTGTCAGTTTTCAGAGTCAAAGAAGTCGAAGAATTTATTTCTAAAAACCCTACGTAATAGCAGCAAACGTGTCTTTAAAAAACTTAGTGACAAGCTGCAGTATTTTTTTAGATTTCAAACCTCAGCAAACTTTATTTAGCCCAGTAATAATGGTGTTTCTGTAAGTAAAGGTAAATTTTGATATATCTACTCCCCTTCCCAAATTGTCAAATTAAAAGTGCCTTTCGCCGTGGACGTCACAACAACCCGAATATGACCCCAAACCGAATAGAGAATAAGATCCAAAGCTCGATACTTCAATAAAAATACTCGTCTTCGTCTTTAATAAGCGGCACCAACTACTTTTACCTTTAACCAATGAGTCTACATAACAAGATGGGCCACTTCTCTCTTTGAGCCAATTAAAAAAGTGTCCTCAAAATTCGGTGGCGCCCTCTCCGCAAAAGCGCACCTTTTGCGATCAGAGTTATCCTACTTGAGTTTTTTTTAAAATCAAAGTGAAACTAGCAAGTTTTTTAATGAATTTCGGAAGAACGCTTTTTAAAAATGGTTACGCTGACAAAAAACCTCCTCCGGAGGAAAGGGTGATTGTTTTCTTCGTTTAATTTGACTTTAGAATGAAAGGCGAGAGGTCATTAAAATATAAATAACCTAAAACTCCGCACTGAACGAACCCGAACTGCTGATGAACAGCAGTCGATCTGCGCACGCAAGGAGGTGCTATTCCTATTCTTCTTCTGGAAAAACGAAAGAGAGCTTCAAAACAGACTGCAGCGCCATCTGAAGCAAAGAGCATACTTCCTGCGGACACTTTTTTGGCTGAGTGGCCCATCTTGTTATTTACTATCTTTGCTTTAACAAAGAAATATAGGGGGAAAAACGACTTGCTTGTCTAATGTCAGATATGCTTGTTATCCAAATGTGAAGTATTCCGCAAGCTCGCCATTTTAATGTGCAGCCAACTCGGGTGTACCAGATTTAGTAATTACTGAAAGGAGGGTTAAACTATACGGTATTATGTTGTGAGCTTAAAAATGAAAATTAAATCTAAAACTCACTTTACTAAATAAAGTATTCATTTAAAGCAAATACGCCTAAGGTGTTATGTTCAGGCTGTATGAGAGTTGAAGTTCGATTTTATCTTGGATCCCCGTCCTTCTGCTGCTCTCAATCAGGTCAGTATGACCCCGGACAAAAAAGGTGAAAGCTTAAAAATAGATGTTTTACGGCCCCATCGACACAATTTAGATCATTTAGTCGGCAGGCTGCTTAGACCCTGGCTGTCTGTGGACACTTGGGTTAAAAGGGATAACAGTACTCATTAGACAGACGGGGAAACACTGGGGGAAAAACCCTCCTTACACGAGAATCGAACTCATATATCTTTTGCAGGTGGTGCCGAAGTGCTTAACCATCTAACAAGAGACACAAATAAGTGTGGAGACATCTCGTCTTGTCATTATTCTGAATTTCTGCTCGTAGTAGCGTAAAATACTCGCATTAACAAACAACCTATCATTCTGAATGCATAATATTCGATCCACGATAAAATATCCCACTCACCATTGTAAGAACATAATGGAAAAGCCACAATTGCAAACACCCAGTATGTTTGTATAGACTAAGACAGTGTTGGCATTCATCATCTTTATCGTCCTATTGGTGCGGTGACAAACTGTAGACTCTTGGTGCTGCATACACACACACACACACACACACACACACACACACACACACACACACACACA